CTAAAGATCCTATAGAGTAGTTTTCTATAATGAATGAAGAACGTAGGAAAACTGCATAAAGTTTACATCAATAACCAAAAAAAGCCACATGACAAAAATCAAAATCAAAATCAAAATTATTCAATGCATCTTTCCGTTAACGTCATGATTGATCCAGATCGTAACCTTTAAGATCATTGTTCCAATACATGTTTATTATAAAGTGTGAAATTAAAAAAAAAATGTAGAATTTACATTTATCTATATATTATAACTTTAACACATGTATTCATATTAGAGCACTCAATCATATAAGTTTTATATTCAATCCCCTGATTCTCTTTTGTAAATATTGAATGCCCTTAAAATGTAGGGAGATAAAGGTTAAAGGCACACAAACAATTATTAAGCTTAAAGGTCGACCCAAAATTTCCCTCCTTTCACATTATTTGGAAATAATATGCTTGTGTTGTTGACCTGCCTATATTATGTGAGAGAAGCCAATTTGAGGTCAAGTTTGTCCAGGTTCAGGGTATGAGCTGTTTAGAGGAAAAAGAAGTAGGTGGAAGAAAAATAAAGGTTAATTGAATAAGAAGAAATAGATAAAATGTAGAGTGAAAATGACGTGCAGATATGAAAATGTTAGAATAACATAAGCCATGAAAAGCTCTTCAATAAATATTATTAGTTGAGAAAATTATATTTTGAATTAATCAATTAATAAATTTTAATTTCGTTTTATTGTATGTTATAATAAGGGCCTAATCGAAAATTTAGTTATAAGTTTTTGAAAGACTAAGAAAGTGTATAACTAATCGATTTTAGATGTCATAATTTCAGTTACAATTAATCATTAAGTAGTTTTCAATTCCTAAGTTAATAAATTATTATTAGCATTTATTTTCCTTTAGTAAATCTTTGTAAATTTGATGACAAAGTTTCTTTATAAGCTTGAACCATTTTTATCAAAAATAATAAGTTGAGTTTTATTTTTAGAAATATTAGAGTTTGTTTCTTTTATCTTAGTGACAGTGATTCTTCTAAGTTCTTAAGTGAGTTAAGAATATTTAGTTATATCAGAAGACTTTCACATCTTTTGTGAGTTACCTTCCTTAGGAACAGTGATTCTTTCCTTCAACATTATCACTAAATTCTTAAATTTTTTACAAGATTTTAATCCTAAATATCTAAATCACCTTTGTGATTCTTATAAGAAAATATAAATGATTTGGTTGAAAAAAAAATAATAAAATAAATATTAGTTTTTAAAATTATTTACCTTTTAAAAATATATTATTTAGTTATTAATGTTATTATTTTTTTATTAACCATTCTTATTTGGTCTACATGTCTGACTTTTAACCAATATTAATATTATAAATATTAGAAACTATCACATGCTACAAAATTATTACATGTTTAATTTTTCTTTCATTTTTTCTACTAATTAATGTATATTATTATTTTGTATTATTTTCATACACCAGCATTCTAGTTATTATAATAATTAAACAACATAAGGATAAAATAAAATAGTTGTTTAAGAATAATGAATTGATGTAAATCTTATTATAAAAATAAATAAATAAATAAATGAGATTGGAAAGTTGAACAGTTGAAGTAGAAAAATTAAAAAGTGAAGGCAGTAATTCATTTCCAAGCACTTCATACCTAAAAAAGTTTGAATAGTACGGAATCCCGCGTCTTTTCTGAATATTTTCAAACATTTTCTGAACATAAAATTTTATTTTCTTATTTCCTTCATTTTTCATCTTCTACAACTTTATTTCCCCGTCAACAAACACACCATTAATATTTAGAAGCCTTTCTTTTTTCTTTTAAAAAAATGTTTTCATAAGTTAAGTGGACAACTTTTCCGTACACTTTTCAGTGTTCGTGCCTCAACCGTTGAGGAAGGAGATTGAGTTTTAGTTTTTTTATTATTATTTGTTTATTTATTGTCTTTTATCTTTATCAATTTAAAATACTTTTTAACAATATAATTCATATAATAAATTTTTCTCTTTATTTTGAATTTTTGATATAATAAAAACATATATCGTAAATAGAAATTATATAATTCACGGTTCCAAAACATTTTAACAGTAACATACTTATAGTATAAATATGATATATAATCAGGGATTTACATACACACTCCATTTTTCTTTTATTTATCTTTTTTTTTAATTAGCATATTATATTATGAAGTTATATTTTTAAGTATATTTATTGCTTTCATTATGTCACAAATTAAATTGCCAATTATTCACGCGTTTAAAAACTAAATCGACGATTTATCTAAATTTTTTAAAAGAGATTTATTTATAATTTTAAATTATACTTTTCTATTAAATAAAATAAAAATTATTTTCATTTTATTTATTTTGTTTTTCTTCCATAAAATTGTTCCCGTGCAAAAGAAAGGCTTAAAGTTTAGGATAGGGAGGATCTAGAATTCCGTTGTAAAGTAAATTTACAGTCACACCAAACACAACTTTAATTTAGAGTCCTCTACAATACTACTGTACTCACAAACAAACACCAAACACTTCATTTTATTACATTAAATAACTATTAAGTTTCAAGCCATATTGATTTAATGCAATTTAATTTATTACTACTCAAAATTTTATGGTTTTTAATGAGCTTTTTGGTAAACTTAATTCAGTCACAGTACAAACTTTTATGTTTACAAATACAATGAATTTATAAGTTTTTAGTTTTTTTCCTGGAATACCTTTTCATGAAATAGAAACAATTAAAAAGTTAAAAATAATAATTTTAGTGTGTACCAATTTAAATAATTTTACTGAAGCTCGACTTCATGGGAAATCTTATGACATAATTGATTGTTAGAGCTAATTTTCTTCATTCACTAAGTTAATTTTCACATGTGTATATGCTTAAATCCGAAGAAGAATCAGAAAAAAAAAAATGAATAAGAAGATTAATTAATCCGGGTGCAGTTGATTGCTAAGCTGGTTTAAGAAAAATTCAACACAAAACAGAGCATAATGATATAAAAAAAGAAAACAGAAAGAAAGGGACGAGAAGAGAATGATTGATGGCGTGTTTCATCAAGATTTGTATATTTTAGTGAGATCAGAGAAAGAAAAGGTTTTGATCTTTGTTTACAGAAGAGAAGATAAGTAAAAGTAAAACTACAGATTCTATAATTTCGGCGTCTAGAAAAGCTAATTTTATGGAAGCCACAAACGAACACAAATAAATAAGTTGAGCTGCAACGCCGCCCAAGAAATTGAACAATGAATAAGAATAGGGTGAACAGTACTGAATAAGAGTACAATAAATAAATGGTAGCAAAGCAATGAATAAAGTAACCGCAAAAAGGAAGAAGAATGAGAATGTGTGGCAGTGTCATGTGATGTGTGTAACAGTGGATCTAACTATTTATCAGTATTGTAATGCAATGAACACTTCAATGGTCAATTGTTGGGGTCAATAAGCATGCCAAGGTATATATGTACCTGACTAAGTGCCACGTTAGAAACCCCATTTCTCTCTCCATCACATGCATGGAAATATATAAAATTCAACGGGTTCAGAATGAGAAATGGAGAAAAGGAAAAGTGAAAGGGAAAATGGTAATATCTGAATATGTGCAAGTGGCACGGCAGCACCTTTGGCTTTAGTGGAGTCACATAGCTATCATGCGCACCAGCTCATGACTCTGTTAAGTCTATGCTAAATTGCTATGCTTCCCTCAATTTCTCTATCCCTGTTGGAATGGTTTGGCTACACTCTTGGCCCAGAGAATGCACAAGCAACTAAGTGGGTCCTACATGAGCATCCTTGTTTTTTGGTGTCAAGTGAAGAAACATAGATAGACTCCTTCTCTCCTCAATGTACACATTTTCAACCATCGAACGTGCCCTATCAAACCCCGTGTTATAGCCTTCACTTCACCTTGACACCGTTGTTTGGCTTGGTTGGTTTTCCTTTGTTTTTTCTTCTCTCCTTCTCTCTATACAATGGTGTCAGATACAAACACACTTGTTGAAAGATTATAAAAACTCAGTTTTTGGAACATAGTGGTATCATTACTAGTGGTGGTGTTTGTTTTCTGATTTTCCTTTCCCATGTGCTGACTTGGTTTTCCTCGCCTTGCTTTGTTTTTTCTGTCTAATCGGGTCTATTGGCTCTCCTCTTTCTTTGGTTTTGGAGTTGAAAAGCTCAACTTTTGCGGTTTGAAAGAGTTCTCTTCTGCCTTGCTACAACTGGGTTTGTCTTCATTTCGTTGAAGTGTTCTTGGCCCTTCACGGATCCAGCTTCATCTGGTAATAATAAAAAAAAGTTAATATTATTATCATTATTATTTGCTTTTGTTATTTTTTTAGTTATGATTTTATTTATTTCTCACCGGAGCACTTTTCGGTTTTTTGCTGGAATGGATTTAGTTGGTTTTTGTTATAAGACGTTGATTGACAGTGTTTTGGGTTTTAAGATTGTTAGAGGAGGGAAGATTGAAACTCGTTTTTCTCTTCATCTTTACATATTTTAAAGGCTTTTTTGTTTGTTTGTTTGTTTGTTTGGTATGGAATATTATATAGTGCAAGTTTATTTGTTTACTCTAACGGGGTGAATTATTGGTCGGATAAATCGTGGAATTGTTCATTCTTTGAGTTTTGCTAGTCAAGGAATTTGCTTAAGTTAATTAATATTTAAGTATTTTGTTCTGCAGATTCTCATTCTTTGTCCTGAACATGTCCATATGCAATCTGTATGTGAATGGATTTCTGGTTTCTCGTTACTAAATCTCCGTTTATCATACATAGGAAACTTGCATAATTTTTGGTTATCATAATGCTCACTTAGTTGATTCTTCAAGCAAAACTGCTACTTACAGATTCAATGTTTTTGGTATGTTACCTTACCTTATTTTTTTCTGTATTTTTTTCAGGTTATTGATTGTATAGTATAATCCTTGGTTTAAGGTCGAAGGAAGATGATCGTGAGAGAAGGGTCCGACAATTAATCCTGCATAGTAGAGGTAGAAGATGGAAAATAAAGGCCTATGGATTCAGAAAGAGGGTCACAGAAGAAAAGATTTATTGAATGATAGGGAAATGTCAGAGGAAGACTCTTCAAAATCACAGTTAAAGAAGTTGATTAAAAGATCAAACTCTCAACGGGCAGTAGTTGTAAATGCTATCCAATCACAAATAAGCAAAGTTTTCTTCAAAGATTTATTCTTTCAGCGTGTCCATGGACTGGACAATAGGATTCCAAAGCATGTGGTGAGTGTGGACGAGAAATATGTTCGTCGCTGCCTGGAATTTATACACAACACTGCATTAAGAGCTGCAAACATGGAGACTTTATCAGAAAGCTTGAATACAGGTAAATTTTTTGGTGGAAATGCATATGGTTCAGGACATTTTGTCTTTGAATGCCCTCTGGCCACTGAGACAAGGAGAGTAGTTATAAGTGCTAATGCTGGAGATCAGTGGACTTTAGGTACAATAATGGGGACCAAGAGTATGATAAATATATTGAATAGTACACTTCTTAAGCAGTTCGGTGCTTCACATAGAAGTGACAATTTGAACAGGATGAACTTTTCTGATCCTGAAGGATTGATATGCTATGATTTTATGGACTCTCCTACTGATTTCCCTGTCACTTCGTCGTATAAATTAGAAAAGGACAATCAGTTAGTACAACAAAGTCGTAAGTATGTCTCCATTCCTGTTCATAAAAGGCTTGTTTCCACTTCTTGCACCACCTCTACTTGTTCTGATTGGTTGTCTTCAGTTTCTTCTACTCTATCTCAGGGAATGATCCAGTGTACTTGGAAGCAAGGGATTCCACATTTTGTTTTTTCTGCAGATGATCAGAAGGAGGTCTATGTAGCAAAATTGAGGAAGGTAGACTCCATGGATAATAAGGCTTTGGACAATGAGTATGATTTTCATTTGAACAAGGGTGCCCAAAAGGGTCGCGAGATCCCTGACAGCGATTTGCCATTTGTTGGGAAGATGCATGTATCAACAAGTTTCACCCTTTGTCCGAACAATTGTAGAATAAGGGAGACAGAGTTTACATTATTCCTTAACGTTGGAGTTATGGACAGAGAAATGTCCCCATCAGAGCATTCTCACAGGAAGAACAAGGGGCTGTCAAAGAAGGTGTCACAAGTTTTTAGAACTAGCCCATCATCAAAACGCAGAACACTCTCAAAGTTTGGTGGATCGGGTTCCACAGCAGAGAGTTGTCCGCAGGGGCCGAATGCTGTTGGTGGGACCAATTTATTAGATGCTGACACTCCTCCAAATTGTGAGATGGCTGCCATTGTTGTGAAAAGCCATCTTCCTTGTAAACAACCAGAGAAAGTAGGAGGGGGGTGGGGTTTAAAATTTCTTAACAAATCTGGTGGAAATCAATTCACAGTGCCTTCTGAAAGTTGTAATCAAAATAATGGGGACTGTTCAACTAGCATGAGCATTTTAATTCCAGCAGGCTTTCATGGTGGGCCAAGAACCAGAAATGGTGGGCCATCCAGTCTGATAGATAGATGGAGATCTGGTGGCCAGTGTGACTGTGGTGGTTGGGATGAGGGGTGCCCTCTTACAGTACTTGAAAGAAGATCTAACAAAGCTGATGTTATGTCTAAAATAGATACACAATACGAGTGCAAATCAGTTGATCTGGTTACTCAGGTCTGTTATATCCCTTATTATATTTTTATTCTTTCTCTTTTCTCTTCAACAACGTTAGTGATCTCATATTATCACATGATTGAGGAGGGGCAACGAGTATGGGAGCTGTAAATATTGGTTTTCCTAAAATGTCATTTTTCCAGTTTGTGTGCATTTCTCCAAAAATCATCAAATTCTTTCCCTCTTTGATCATCTTCACACTTGATATCTCTTCTCATATCCATCTTGACTAGATGGATATTACACCATTGAGCTGTATTAGAAACCAAATTTTCAATAAAAGCATTTCGTGATACGTTTAAGCTAATTTTGTTGTTATATTTTCTGTTCTTATTGAACAATTAAATATCTTTGAGTATGCAATGAGCTGATCATAGCCCTAAAATTTCAGGGTTCAAGGGATTTCGGCCCCACCTTGAGGATGGTAAATGTTCATGATGGTCTGTATTATATTCATTTTCATCCACCTCTGTCTGCACTACAGTCTTTCTCCATTGCTGTGGCAATAATTCATGCACAAAGTCCTACTCTTCAGCTCAGTGGTGTTCAGGAGCTGTCATAACTAAAGTTAATTCCGAGGTTATTTAGCTGTCATCATTCTCTTACTGTATTATAAAAAGTGAAGAGAAGATTTAGGATTTTATACATGAATCAGGTTTTCATTGTATGTTTAGGGTTGTAATTTTCATACAGTCAGATGTTATCTTATTTAGGAGAATTAGTTCTGTTTGTTCTATTCACAATTCATAGTTTGTAACCATATGTCTCCTCATTCTTTTTGTTGAAGAGGATCGATTGTAAAAGGTTTGTTGAAGAATATTTGGTAAATTATAGCATCGAGATTGAGTTTGTCCTAGTTGTTAATGAGAAGGAAATGGGGTTAGCATTTACCACTCATTTATGATTGGAAACTTGGCAGTGTTACTCATTTACATAGTTGCTGCATTATCCAATTGCTACTCTTATAATAACAACACATGTTCCATGAATGTTATCTCCCAATGTCTTGTTGTATTTGAAGGATTTGTATTTGCTTTTGTTTTCAAACTTGAGTTTTGAGTGACAATGCTGAAAATAGACCTAATGTTCAGTATATAACATCAACATGAATACTTCTTCCACATTATCTTTGTCTTACAATTCTTTTCTAGAGCTGATCTTCTGATAGGACCAAGCATGGAGAGTTTGCTTCCCATCTCAGCAAGGTAAAATGTTTGACATCTTCTATAGAATGTGATTTATGACATGTTTGGATAGGTTTCTCCAAAAACATTTTAGAAGAAGAAAATAAGAAGGAAAGATGAAATATTTTTTTTTTCTTGACTAAAATTAGTTTATGCATAAGTTAAAAGTAATCTCTTGGAAAAAATATTATAAGATTATGCATAAACCAATTTTAGTCTATAAAAAAATTTATAGTTTTTTCTTTGTTAAAAGTGTTTATGGAGAAGTTTACTCAAATAATTCATAACATTAATATTATACTTGTAGGTGGTGACAGAAGGCTAATACACAAGATGATGAAGCTGCATAATCACAATCTCAACTAAAGGAGAAAAGGCTAAAAAGATAACTTATGATGGAAGATTAGTTTATTATCAACAATCATTTTGGCATGAATTAGAAAGTCTCTCAATTGCATCCAAAGGTTGGCTTGAGAAGGCAGATCTTATTTTGTTGTGGCTGTAGTTGTTTTGTTTGTTTGTGTCATGTTTCCACCATGCTGACAACTAACTGTATTTTTTAACATTTTTTTTACTGCTACTTTCTAGCGTACTCTTCTGGCATTAGGGAGTGTTTGGAACAAAAAACTACGTATAGTTCAAATAACGGTATGATATTCAAGGAACTTAACCCAGACGGACAGAAATTTTTGGTTTTTGGTTGATACATAGATTAGATAATGTGTCCTCGATATGTAAACATGGAAGAGGAGGTGCTATTCATGTAAGTCTAAATCACCAGATTAACCAACTAAGTAACGATTGGCCTTATGTAATTACATTGCTTGGCCATGATCAAATTCATCCAATTTTATTCACATTTAAAACTCAGACCTTACTGACAGGTTTATTTTTTAAATATAAATAAAATTTAAAAAATATTTTTTCTCTTATTTATGTATAATAAATATCATTTTTATTCTCTCACATAATATTTTATTTATAATTTTTTTCTCCTTATTCTATATTCAGATTTTTATATTTTTCCTTTCTAACTTTCACTTCAATTTTATATATATTTTGTTTTTTCACATCTTTATTTTTTTTATTTCTCACTCACTTTTATATTCTTCTTTTTCATACTTTCACATTATAATATACAATTTTTAATTCTTTTACTTTATTTTTCAAATTTTTCTTCTTTATAATTTAATTTTTATAACATAAAAATTATAAAAAAATAATTTCTTTTTTTCATGTTGAAGAAAGACAAGTTAAAAAATAAATGAGATGCCCGAATAATTTTTTTAAGTAAAGAAGCAATAAGAAAATTTGTTTTGTTATTGGTCTTTTTTTTATTATAACAAATTAACACATAATATAAAAATATAAAATATTAATATAATTTTTTTATTTACTATAAATTAATTTATTATCTTAATATTTTACAATGTTCTATTTTAATGTTAAAATATGCAAAAAATAAAATAAAATATAGATTGAGTTATAAAATATTTAAGAAAAATTATAATTTTTTTAAAAGAAAAATAATAATAAATGATAAAACAAACTTTAATTTTAAAATTTAAATTTAATAAATAATTTTAAACATGTCAAATATTTTATATAATATATATATATATATATATATATATATATATATATGTTAATTTTTTTATTTAAAATTCTTGATTCCATTTCACAAGGTTATATTTTGATTATGTATATTTTTGAGAGAATAAGATAGATTTTATTTATAAAATATAATTTATCATAAATTATTAATTTTAAATTTAATTTAATCTACTATAAGTGGAAAAAGTTTACACTATAATCTACATATTAAAGAAGTTTTGACTACGATAATTAAATAAAATGAATAAGATATAAGGAAGGTGAATTGCAATAAAAGATCATTTGCTTACCAGATTAAATTTTTAATTAAGGTCGATGACAATATTTAAAATGTTGAATTATTACTTGGCTACTAATATAACCCAAAAATTAATACAAGAAAACTTGAGTTTGTGCAGATCGCAAAACTTCGGGTCCTAAATGACCCGATTGGCATATAAATAGTTGAAACAATAAACAAACATACAACATATGAATTCAATATGATTCAAACAGATAAAGCCATCTGATAGGAGAATAGAAGCATGTTATTTTTGTCGTCACATATGCAAGTTTGTGGCTTACAGAGGCATCTAATGGTATATGCCCTCGTAATTGACGTTCCTCTTTAAACTAAGGCTTTTATGAAGGTTTGTATCAACTGTATGCACCCACAGTCCCCAAACTCATTTGACCTGTTCTTAGTTTGTATCTACTGCAGAAAATACAAAATCAGCTTGAAGAACTACTCTGAAAGTTAAGGGAATCAATATCTGCGACAGAGGACTGAGTGACAAATACCTTGCATCCCTTACACACTTCAAGCCATAAGATGTTGGTACTACTAATTACTAAAATGAAAAGTATCCTCTCAAGTTAATAATTTGTTGACAATATTATGTTATGAGAAAAACAAAATTATGAAGGATCTAAATCCTTTTACACATAAGTATCACATTAGCTTGGAAAGAGAGAGAACTCTCCGTGTAACAGACCTACACTTAGTAAGACTGCACAAGGATATCGTCAATACCAGTCAAATAAGGGATTTCAGTAGTAGTGAATGCAATAAAATATAAATATTATGTGACTCTAGTATTTTTATCAGTTTTTCCAACAAAACCCACAAGGAATCCATAATATTTTCTCAGCCAGTATTCTCAGTAGTGAATGCAATAAAAGTATTATGTGACTCCAGTATGGAATAAAGTACTTTTATCACTTGTTATAATGCAATAAAATCACCCAGTATTTTCCATAATATTATGTGATTCCAGTATTTTCACATAGTATTTTATTCCGGCAAAACCCGCTCCATCATTCATACATCTATAGTCTATCACTGACACTAGTGGGAATAGTTTTTTAAACTTCATTCAAACTCAAAATGAGATACCAGTGTCTTCTACCTTGCTATAGTATAACTAATTTAATTGAAGACTTGAGCAATAACAATATATCACGAGACCTTATGTCCCGCAGGTTCGCTTATGGGGTTGTGCTTGCAAAAAGGATAAAAGCATAGGATATGAACTCTAAGATTTCCGTTTTTTTCTGCAAAAAGAATAGAGTTTTATTTTTATTTTTTAAAATATAAGAATGTTAAAACTATTTTCCTAAGTTTAATCAAACATATACTTAGGTAACGCGAGGGGGCAATTAGAGTTTTACATATGATATGTCAAGACCAGATAAACTCTATAGTCGTCTACATATATCCACTTTATTCTTTATCAGTTGATAAGAAAGTAAAACAGATTAGAGCAGACTCTATCCTGCTGAGTTCACTCTACTAAGTATTCCTGAATATCAATCTAATTTACAAAAAAGATATTTACATGTAATGTATACATTAGCCAAGATGATCGCATTCGTCAATTAAATACAATAATTAGAAAATTGAAAACTCACATCCATCAACTTTTATTAGAATACACCATGATTGGCTATACAAATACCACGGATGTTTCTTTTACCCCAACCATTTTTAAATTTTCCATTCTGAATTGAGATTTGTCTTCCAAAACCCACTCTGGGTATACATGTATGTTCTTGCAAAATGCGAACATCAAAGATTATCTCTATCTTATTTTCTACTCTCAGCTTTAACTAAATTATTAATAATTGAAAAACTTCTGAATGCCCAAGGGGTTAAGGGAATAACTAAGTTTACGCTTATAAACAACGAGGAGTTTCACATGTAACATTCTATATTGATTTCGGCTAAAAAAAAATGCTTAATGGAGACAAATTGACTTTACCCTAATGAAAAATATCCCAACATCATCCAGAATCCTTTCTTCCAAATTTCAAGAGGCCCGAAAAGAAAGCCGCATTCAGATCTCAAGTCAGTAAACACAAAATGAACCAGCACCCAGTGGAATAAACGCATTTGCATTTCAATAGATTTTTTTTCTCTGCAATAATTCTGAACTCCAGAATAAAAATAATGGGATAGACAAAGCATTAAACTACAGTACCAAAACTCAGTACTCGGTATAAATCACACTCACGCACACATTTCACTGAGTAAATGCAAGCAAGCACCTGCTAGGAAGACTGGGAAGAGAGTTTGAGGCATTCACTCTGGCACCTCCTGAGGCAAATGTCATTCCAATTAGGCACTTGATGTTGGTTGACACAAACAGTGCGGGCACAGGCATCAGCACAGGCATCAAGATCGGAAACACCACAAACGGTGACACAGGTATCGGGAATGGGGTCTTTGGAGAAGGAGCCAACCTTCTTGAGCATTCTCTTCGACGTGCAAACCCTCTCACACACGAAAATTTCATCAGAACTCCTTTCCCTCCCTCGAGCACTCTTCAGCCTCTGCTCCTCTGCGTGCCGTTTCTTCACCCGAAACGCTTGCCCTGCAACCACTATAGGAATCGCCGCCCCCAAAAGCGACCACCAGATTTCACCCATTTCTCTCTCTCTCTCACACACACACACAACGAACGAACAAATTCACCACCTCTTCTTCTAATTCACATACTGCACACTCCCAACCACAAGTTACGGAGTTTCAATCGTTAGTAGTTATTATTAATAGTACACAGTAAGCAAACCCTAGACACACGCGCGTGAAGCGAAACAGAGTGAATACGGTAATGTGTTGAAATGCAAGCAAAAAAAGAATGAGAAATGGAGTTCATACTATGCATCGAACTGAATTAAGAGGATGAAAATTCGAACGTGTGGCTTTATTTTAGTGAAGAAAGCATGGGATTTACCGGCGGCCGAGAAGAGCGGCAGAAACAGCGTGGCGGTGCTTCTACGGCGTAAAACCCTCACTCCATTACTTTTCACAACAATGAGTCATAGCTATTTAACTTTCATGGGGTTTTTTTCCTTGAAAAATAGAAAAGGAATATTCGTTTAATTTCCTTAAATAAAAATCATATTAGATAATATATGTTTTATTTTTGTCGAGTACTTTGCTGTGTTCTCAACTAACCTTAAAAAACTATGATCTTAGATTATTTCCATGTTTTCATTGATTCCAACAGATTTTAAATAACTTTTTTATTTTAGTTTTAACATATTATTAGAGTAAATATTTGTATTATCATTTAATGAAATATATTTTAAAGTATTTATTACGCAATTTGATAATTTATGGTATATAGATATAAGACAATTCATAATCAATTGAAGACGTAAGATTCTAAGGTCTTTTTGGTATATTGTATTAGCATTTAATATCTGTCAAAATAAAATTTAAATTAAAATATTTAAAAAATTTGAATACAGTGAATATAATGATTTCAGGTGAATGCATAAAAAATTAAATAAGTCAAACTAAAAAATTATTTAGGAGGAAAATTAAATACATTAAATTTATCTAAAAATAATAATATAATTCAATTTAATATATACAAATCAAGTTATAAAAATAAGTACATGAAAATTTCTAAATAATTGTTGACCAAAAAATGGAAATTAATAGAAAATTAGAATAGCTATTTAAAAGTTGATATTATTTTTTTTCTTCCCTAAATTTTATTAATAATTCCCTTGTTTCTCTTCTACGATTAGTAAATTTTAGGGATTTATTTAACCTTCAAATATATAAATAAACTCTAACAAATATTAATGAATGCTGATTAAAAAAAGTAATCATAGATGAACTTAGTTTTACGTATTCTAATGAAAAAAATTATTTTAATTCTATAACCAATCGTCCTCAGGGTATACACCAGCGTAAAAACTAATTAACTGATAAAATAGTTATCTGAAAAGTATACCCATTAATCAAACCTAACTATTTTAATAGTCATAGCTAGTTATTATGAATGTTCATAAAGAATTGTTTCAAGTGGCCACTTCTAATATCTATTTTTATTTTTTTCATTTTTTAGTGTATTATCATGCCTCTATTTCTTTTATTTATCCATTTTTGTGCAATCATAATTATATTTATCTATCTGTATTTAGTGTTTGTCGGCATACATGGCGTTCATATATAATTTTCCTTTCACACTACAGAGAAATTATGTTTTATTATTGATGATACGATGTTAAGTTATATTGGATTAATGATAGATGAAAAACCAATGAGATAATACCTTGTTGAGTAAACTCTTCATTTATTGGATCAATCCTTATCCCAGAGCACAAGGTTCTAAGTATGGTTTTTTATTGTTACATTAAACCACTGATATACCTTACATAAAGGACTCAGTAACTTACAAAACTATACACACCCACACTACATATATAATATCCAATTCAACCCATCTTAGCATCAGTACCAGACCTTGCATGCATTTTAGCACAGTATTCAAACAAGCTCCCATCAAAGCATCTTCTAACAGCTTCTTTAGACAGGAAGCCTTCCTCATCCCTAGCAAGAATGTACAGAACCCCCCATTCGAATTTAGCCGCGAGCCTGTCATGTCACCATCAATTCAGTTGGAACATAATGTTGGGCACTGAACGAATCAAATCATGCAATAAAAGTAAGTTGAGATCTTCAAACTCACCAGCCAAATGGGTCAAACGCATTTCGGTTTCCCTCTGTCAGGTCCCAGAGCTCCCCAAGTGAGAGTTTGTCAGGAACTGTACGACCATACTTGCTAAACATATTCTCTATATTCGCTGGCACGTAACTGTGGTTTCATTTCATTAAGGACAAATTTATGTCCAAGAAGAGGATAGCAGTCACAATATAGTTCATCACATGAATATGCTAGATTTTTGTAACACCATATTATATATCCCACTTACCGTCCTTCTGTGTCATAAACTCCAGAGTCACTTCCATGCTTTGCTTTGTGTATGTTGTGTATGTAGATAGGGAAAAGGAGAGAAGGGAACCAACTCTGTATGAGTACAATTCAAAGGTAAGCCTACACTAAATGTTGGCCCTATAGTATTCTGAAGAGAATTGTGTTTATTAATAAGATTGTATCTTGAATATATTATGAGTTTTTACAATGTATTTTAGAAGTGATTAATGACCAATTGCAAAACTTTTAAACTCAAAATTCAGTTGAAATATAGATATCAAAGACGCATGCTATCTCCCACTTTTCCTAGTTTCCTTATAAATCTGTCAGCTCGTGGATATTTAAAGCAACAATAACAGCACAGATTCTTAATATGAATAGTGTAAAATACGCTTAACAGCTTAATCCCAAAGGTATACAACATATATATTGTTCATTTTGTACCCTTTTGGTCTAACTATTTAAGGAAAAAGAAAAACCAAGAATGACTTACAGGCTGAGTGGGGTAACTCAATCCAACATTGATAACAAAAGCCATAATAACAGATGCAACAATATTAAATCCAATAGAGCGCAGCCCTGAAAAACAAAGATAAAAGAACTTTAGATAAGATACTAATTTGGACCCGGTTGGAAATCAAAACTCTTACCCATGTAAGTCTCCCAGGGGTAAATGATACCATTGTCATCTTGATCAAAAAAAGCACAATGCTGCTGAAGAACAGACAAGTTGTAGTGCTTGTGACCTGGTGTTCCTTCAGGGTGGCCCGTATCAGGAGCTTTCAATGCTCTGGGCATGTCTGAACACGTAACATGAAAAACAAAATGGCTTAGTTACACATGTAAGAAGAAATTTAAATCCATTCGAAAAAAAAATAATTGGTAAAAGGTACTTTATGCTCTCTATGTTCTTGTTCATTCAAAATGCAATTGACTCCTTAATGTCAAGGGCATGGACGTTATTTACTTGAAAGTTGAAACTTAAAAGAAGCAATATACTTACTTACACAGATAGATGAGGTGCCTTTGCAAATTGCAACATAAAGGGGGAAAATGCATGAACAGGATATTAAAGAACAGCTACTAATCATCTTATATGAACCAAGATATTGACAAAAAGTATTCATCATGGTCCTTTTGATATACAGAAAACAAATGACAGAATTAATATCTTAGCAGAATCTGCACCAAATTAGTATATGATCCTGCAACGTTCCTTCAGTTTTCAATCCTCCCTCTCTCTCGGTTGTGCTTACCATCTTTCACCTGATTAATTTTGATAGTGGAAATCAAAGAAATTTGAAACGGCTAGACTTACATGGCTTTGGCAGAGAATTTTCCAAATCATTTCTGACCCTTCTCTGTGCAGTAACCGGTGCATTTTGAGCTTCAGTCATCAATGACTCCCTCTCCATCACTATAGCCATTATGATATTAATGTGCTTCTTCTCTTTCTCACTGAATACTCTCGTATATATATTCGATCTCAACTTTTCTTTTCACCTCCTCCTTTTGTAGAGGAGGTAGCTCCATTACCATTCGTATATATAAGGCTATACAAAGAAGAATAAATTATAAGATGGTGAACACAGTAGAAAGAGCCAGCAAGTTCCACCAAGTTACGTGGCAAACATGCACAATACTGCAGTGCATATTGTGCCAACTGCCAAGTTAGGAGGACTTGATGCATGTAATTGTTTTGTCGGTTTGTCTTCTCTGAATATCTTTCTTATTGTCCAACATACATCTAGTCCCGAGTTTTCATCACTTCAGCAGAAGTTTAGATTCTCTTTGACTAATCAATGCCATGTTTCGACAAGACAATTTAATTAAAATGCCCAGAATTTTTGGGGTGAGGCAAGGTTCCATATGTTAATGAGTGTGGCACATTTTAGAGTCAAAGTTGAGGACAACTCTTTTCTCAACTCAACTCATTTTTAAGAATATTAATAAATTGAGCAATAAACGATAAACATTAAGCAATAAACGATTCTTTTTAGAAACTATAAACATTTTTAAAACAACGTAAATTACGCTTGATAATAAAGAGTTTAAGAAAAAAATTATAAAAATTATTACTAGTAAATCTTTAAAAGCTATAACAACTCAACTAATAATGGAGTTGAAAAGGTGTGTTACTGTGCACCCTTTAATTAGTGGAAACCCTTCTGGCAGATTCAGTAGTGATGGTCACAAACTGCTATAATTTCAATGGTGCAGATAATTATTTTAAAGATCATTTGGTAGGACCAGAAAGAAAAAAGGTTCGATTCTTAATCTACAAAAAGCTAAATTAAAGCATAGACATGCACATCATCTTATTAATTAATCTACAAAAATGAACGAGTAAATATCACTCAAACCGAGTCAATATTCATATGATAGTACTTCATACATTTACATTTATTACATATTATTTTAAATTTTGTTTAAATATTATTTATATAATCTTTTTAAATAATAATCAGAATAATATGTAGTAAATCTTACCAGAGAAAATGAAAAGAAGAAAAAAAATAGAAAAAGTAAAATTATACAGTTCCATTTCGTAACGATTATTCATTACTATTACTATTTCTTTTATTGGTTAAATATATTTTTTTCTCTTCGTGTTACATATGGTTTTCATATTGGAAAACTAATAATAATTATAATCTTGATTTTGATTCTAACGATTAAACATAAATGTAATCTCAGATAAATATGTTGTAAATTGAATGCGAAAGCATACATGAATTAATTACTGATAAATATGTTGTAAACTGAATATGAAAACATGCCTGAATTAGTCATAATGATGATGTTTTTGTAGAACACTGTATTGATTTTATGGTCTTCCACCTGAAGAGCACCTGTATTTCTCTCTTGATTTTCTCTCTTGATGGGATAGAAAGAAAGGAACGGGATTGATACTTACGTTCTGTGTGTTCCCAGAAGGGGACCATGACCCTTTAAATAATCAGAATTAAGTTAATTACTTAAGTTTTAGTGTTTTCAATTTGGCCCCTCATCAAATTAGAAATTGTTCAATGGTCTCTACATAATTTTATATTCATGACATATGCCTTTAGCCAAAACTTTAATTTAGTCAGATCACTTTATTATTTGGCTTAATAAATAATGGCTCTAACACATTTAAATTATGTATCATATATATACATGACCCAAATTTTGCCAACAATCTCCCACTGGTTACAAATATATATGTCCTTGCAACCTTACAAATGTGTTAGACTTTATGAGCTCAAAATTGCCATTATATTCCTTTAGCATATTCCAAAAGTCCTGTTCATTGATCATATCAGGATATAGAACCAAACCAACTTTTCATTGCATCATCGCAACTAAAACCAACAATGATTACTCATCCTAACATAACCAAATGACATGGATTCATCATGAAATGTGCAGCATGAAAAATTATGTGAAGGTGATCTGTACACGTCTATTTTCAACTAGTCTAAACTTTAACTTATCGAGATCGATATAATATCCTTAATGTACAAAGTGTAATGAATGAATGAAAAAACCGCATATCTATAGATAACCAAATATGTTCAAAAAATCAATGTATACATATATGAAATTAAACATAGAACATAAAATGTATGAAAATGAGTAACTCCCACTAAACCATAAATTCCTCAAACTGTAAAACACTCATTTGAGCAACATGCTCATGAAAGACCTTGGGTGGAAGTCCTTTAGTTAGAGGATATACTATCACGGAGGTTGTCCCTAATTGTTCTATGAAAATCTGTCCACTCTGTGCTTTTTCCTTAACAATATAGCTAATTTGTTGTCACAATATAACTTAAGTGGTCTTTCAATGTCTTTCACAATTTGCAGCCCTGTGACAAAATTTCTCAGCCATATTCCATAATTTGATATCTCATAGCATGCTATAAATTCTTGACATCCTGCAAAATCTGAGTCAAAAAACAAAGCGATCTCCAACTGGTTTGACCTCCTATATATATGTGAGCATATAATCTTTTGTTCTCTTTAAATATCTTATGACCCTTTTTGCTATTTTCCAATGGTCTATTCCTAGATTGCTTAAATATCTGCCTAGAACCTCAACTATGTATGCTATGTCTGGACGCGTACATATTTGGAAATACATCAAACTCCCTACAGCTGATGCATAGGGAATCTTTTACATTTTCTCAATTTCCAAATTCTTCTTTGGGCACTGATTGAGACTAAACGTGTCCCCCTTTAAACTTGTGATACACACAATCATCAACAATATTCATCTCGAAGCCAAATGAGAGAATTACTTGATGAAATTTGTAGTACTATTAACATGATGTTTGTTTTAGTCCATAAATGGATTTTGTCAGTTGCAAACCATATTCTTTGGATCTCCCTGCACCAAAGTTTTTGGTTGTACCATATAAATTGTCTCATCAATGTTGTCATTGAGAAACACCGTCTTGACATCCATTTGATGAAACTCAAAATCATAATGTGCTACAAGAGTCATGATTGTCCTAAAAGAGTCTTTCGATAAAACTGGAGAGAAATTATCTTTAAAGTCAATTCCTTCCTTTTGGGTATAGCCCTTAGCTACCAAAAGAGCCTTATACCTTTTCACATTACCTTTGGAATCTTGTTTGGTCTTAAATATCCACTTGCAACCAATGAGTTTCATACCTTCTGGTAATGGGACAAGTTCCCAAACCTTGTTGTCTTGCATGGACTTATACTCCTCCTTCATTGCTTCAATCCACTTTTCAGAGTTAGAACCTTGCATAGCTTGACGGAAGTTAACTGGGTCATCTTCCATTATATCATTATTTTCCTCATGTTCCTGAAGAAATACCATATAATCATCTGAAATAACACTTTTTCTTTCTCTAGTGGATCTCCGCAAAGTTATTGGCTCATGATGCACAGGTTCTTGAGGATCTTGAGTTTGTTCTTCATGAACAACCAAATAATCTTGAGTAAGGGGTTCTTCAACAATGCCTTGTGGAGGTTCCGAACTTACTTTATCAAAAGTAACTATTTGAATCGGTTCTGAGATTGTTACCGATTCTTCCTCCAAGCTAAAGTTCTTAATCTTATTCTTCCCCCCAAACTCAATATCCTCAAAGAACGTAGCAGTTCTCGTCTCAAAAATTGTCTTTAATGTGAGATCATAAAATTTATATCCCCCGGATCTTTCAGTATAACCAATAAAATAACTACTTACTGTTCGGGAGTCCAATTTCTTTTCATTTGGCTTATAAGGCCTTGCCTCAGCTGGACAACCCCACACATGAAAATGCTTCAGACTAGGTTGTTGCCCAGTCCAAAGCTCATAAGGTGTTTTGGTAGTTGATTTAATTGGTACTCTATTTAAAATATAAGTTGTTGTTTTTAGTGTCTCTCCCCATAGTGATTCCGGTAAGGTGGAATGACAAATCATACTCCTTATCATATCTTTAAGAGTGTAACACAAGCTCAAGCGCCACGATTTGATTGTGACCTGAGTACTTGTGCCATAATACACCTGAATGAGTATTTTGAATTTTACGTTTAGTATCACGTGATTCTGTATTAAGGGTTTTATTATAGGTGACCACAATATCAAGTAAATACTGATTATTATAAGCAAAAAGTGAACAAGTTCCAACAATATCTGAATTAAAAGACAAACTAAACTTATTGTTTCCAAATGAACACAAACAACCTAATTTGTCCAAATAAGAAACTGAAACCAAATTCTGTCTAAATGACGGCACAACAAAAGTGTCTTTCAAATCCAAATAAAAATCAATACTCAATAACAATTTAAAATGCCCTATAGCTTCCACCTCTATCGATTTGTCATCTCCAACATATATCCATTTTTATTTTTTTTTAGAATCAATTGGCTTTCGGTAGCTTAGACAACCCTTCATAAAAACATTGATATTAGTAGTTGTACCTGAGTCTAACCACCAAGTGTTACTAGGTACTGACACTAAATTGACTTCACAATAGACCAAAGTAGGAAACATACTTTTGAGGATTGAAACAAAATTTAAATTGGTAGATACAGAAGCAATTGTAGCTGAATTTAGAACACGAGAAATAAATTAATTATGCTCATATTATATAAAAAATAAATAATTATAAATATATATTCAAATAATGGTTTAACTCATCTCAAGACACTCAATACACCATCAATATCAAGTCTTTGGACAGTAATATTAACTGCTAGAGGTATCTTGTTGTAATAATCAAACATTGACAATAAAGCACGTCCAACAACAAACCAGTCTTTGGATTAATTTATTATCGACAAAACAAATCCTTATAATTATCACATGTTCTTCATTACAAGTGTACATGCAATTTGACCAAATATTAATCTTCCTTTAGGCCGACTAATACTCGCATGAATATACACAAATACTAAAATTCAATATTTTTCATGAACTGCTCAATTCAA